CGTGACAATCTCCTTGGTTTAAAACCATGACCTCTATTATTTAATTACACATACAATATTCACCTCCTCATGGAAGATTTCTAATTATTGTTAATTTAAATACAATATATAAATAGTGGCAGAAAAATCAGTATAATTATACATCTTAGTTACCATACAATTATGTTAACTACGTAATCGTTGCCTGTGATCTCCAATCGACGCTTCAGTGAGATATACATATGTATGTCTTAAATTATATTTTCTCTTAAAACTTAGAAAAAGTCACTTTTTGTGCAACGAAGTTCAGTAAGTACCTACAACAAGATCTGTGAAATTTTTAAAAAATTAAATATTTCATAACTACGAAATTTTCTTAGAACAATTTACTTAACATAATTTGCTTTAAAATTTCTAATGATACTGATTTACCAATTGAAAATATCTTAAGGAATAAGATGCAAAGATAAACCTAGTTTGTGTGACCAGGGAAAGCATATCCCAGGACACTGGAAACAAGAGCGATACGAAGGTGGATTATTAAAGTAATTACATAGAAGCAAGGAGCTGGATATCGTGAAAGAATTTGCCTTACTTTCACCCTTCCTGATTCCCAAAGCAAGAGACAAACATTGTCACAGATAAGAAAAAGTCCATTCTTCGCAATCAATTAGATCTGTGATGATAGTCCATCGTTTTCAGGACTTTAACATCTTCTAAAGAGGGGGAAAAATAGATTAGAAGTAGAAAAAGTCAAATTTGACATTACAATCTAAATTTGATTGTAATTTTTTGCAATTCCATGGAAACTTAGAATGGCAAACTATTACCGATACATGTTCACTAAAGTTTAGCTTACGCGATTCCATTATTTCTTTCTTTTATTAAATCAGCTTTTTAACTTTCAGTTTGGTTAGAAGATGATTAAGAAAAATGACCTTTGACTTATGTTTGTTAATTTCTTTGATAAGAATTTTTGGATACTTCTGTTTGGAAGAGAACAAAATTACTTAACAAAGCTCGTGAGATATGTTATTAGTGATTTATGCAAGTATATTAAAAAACAGAATTAAATTCAACATAGAAAACATCAAATTGTATGATGGTAAAAAGAGACAACAGGAGTACGTCAGCAACTTCACGGGAACAGGAGTTATTAGTGGCGTTTTCTGGATCGCTCTGCGCGTAAGAGAAAGAAATCGATTTACTGTAATACAAATATAATACACGTAGAAAGTCGGAAAGAAGGAAAAGGCAAAAACAGAATGAAAACGACAAAAAGGCAAAAGCGACAAGACGGCTGTTGAAAGACATTTACCAAAAGAATAAAAATACATAAATAAAAAGTGAAGAAAAATAAGCAAGATTGAAAATAAAAATAAATTTGAACGATCAACAAAATCGTGAGAGAGAGAAATGATAAAAGAAAAATATATAGAATGAAACACAATGGCGAATGGGAGCTTCATCTATCTTAGCCTAATCTCGCAAGGACATCTACCTGGTGATCCATTTTAATTGTCAAAGAATTCGATCGATCGCCTAATGTGAAATGATTTAAGCAGAGGGTGAAAGTAAGAGAAGACGATCCGTTTTATCACTCGCAGATGAATTGTTAATCGAGATATTATTCATTCACGAGATAAAAATTAAGTACTTTCTTACCTTGGTACTTTGAGATATTGAAACGTTTTGCAAACATGCAGTTCGATGTTGTGAGTAATCGAGGCTTGTGTAAGTGATCCGTTACTTTCTAAATTCTTATGCGTTTGGCTAATAAAAGTCCGTCACGTAGTGCATGCGTTTTACTAAGAAACGTGGACGTTTAACAATGGAATCTAATCTTCTTCGTTGTCTGTTAATTGTGGTGGAATTACGTTGTTGAAAGGTGTGCGAATGCTTTATGAGATCACGCAGTAGTACCTTTCCCTGGGAGGCTTAACTTTTATGCTTAACAATAGAATGTACGTGTATACTTATATGTTGATTATTATAATATTACATTGTACAAGGTCGTATATACTATTATTATAATACAACCACTTACGTTGATGATTAATGAACTGGGTGATTAATGAAAGTCATAGCACTATATTATTCCTTGGTAATAAATTTCTAAATCGTGCAGTATACTTCAGTAAAGTGGGTTTTATCTTGACCTTCATTACAATGATTGCAATTGCTTCTTTTTTGATATTCTATAATTTACTATATCTCCTACATATGAGAAAAAATGCAGTATCACCTACAAATGAATGCAATGAGAAAAAAGTTAGGTTTCTATTAAATAGGTGAAAATCTTAAATCAACATGAACTTTGCTGAATGTAATTGAGGTAACAGACAGATCTCGGGTATCCAAGCCTGCTGGACCGCCGGTATCTTTTCCCTTTCACCGTTGCCACGCAGAAAAATCCGATTTGGTTGTGCCCGCTGTATGTTCGTATATACGTGATTATGTTTCACGTCCGGACGCATTTTCTATCACATATATGCCACCATGTGCGCATTATCTTTTATTACAGCTCTTAAACGTCTCAGCTATTCGTGTATTTATTTCTGCATTTGTTTATGATTACAGGACTCGTAACATTGAAAGTAAAGGTATAAATGGGAATAAGTTTACGTAAAACAGCTATAAAAACTGGATACAATCAAGATCATGCTGTTGTATTATTAGCAAATGTATTGGCGTCACTCCTATAGACGTCATTATCGTTGCTTTTTGTTCTGCTACACTACAGACCAAAGTAGCTTTCGATGCCCTTGTTTTGAAACTCTCGCGCAGTTATCGTTTTATTGACGCTCTCGATAAAAAAGAAACAGAATTGCTCCACCATATTATAGATTAACATTTTATGTTACTACAAAACAACTAACATCATTCCTCATCAGTCGTAGATTTAAATAATTTTATAAATATTCTACTCTTTTAATAGAAAAGCCATTGATTGTTTTGTAGAATCCTCAACTTTCATCAAAAATTCAGGTACTCTATAAAAAAAATTGATAAACTGATAAAAAGAAACTGAATTTTATACTGAAGAGCTACCTCAAATTAATCCCTATCGAAATCATTAAATTTTCTACAGTTTCATAAACATTCGGTTTTTTTAAAAAATACAGTGGTGATACACTGATTTTCTTTTTTTAATGAAAGAAATTCTGTTGCAGCAAAAGGATTGCAAAATCAGTTATTATCTCTGCTGAATCGATTACACGTTTGATCGTTTCTCCCTGATGATTGGATACACACGGTCCTGATCGTTTCGTCTTACGTCACGCAAGCGGCCAAAGCAACGTACAATGAGGGTTTAAAGGAGGCCGAGGAGAATCCTCGAATTCAATGCCCGGATACACGGCGAGCTGATGATTACACGGCACCGACAATCATTTTACTCCCACGTATGCACGTTTGAGCGATTCGACCCGCGGAAAACACCTGCCCTCTTTGTTGAATAACTCGAGATAACGTGTCATCCTCCGCATTGTCTCGACAATTTTGTAATCTGTAACGTGCGTTGCATAGATTGGTAACATTACGAGGTCATCGGATAATTAGTAACTTGAATATTTTAATAAGCGAGAGATCGAAATCAACAGGGATTTCGACTTGATGAAAATTCACGTACAGGCTGGTGCAACAACAACATGCAGCCTCAGCGCAGATTTCTTCACACATTGAAAATAATAAGAATTTGCAATACTGTTTCCATTATTTGCACAAATAATTGCAAATAATTAATAGATTTCTTCACATATTGAAGATAATAAGAATTTGCTGTTCTATTATTTACTGTTTCCATTATTTACGCAAATAATTGCAAATAATTTTGTTTTAACATTTTATGTTCTTTGCAGGCGTCAACCTCGTATTTTGAAAGAAATATCCGAGGACTGTTTCGCGTGAGATTAAATCTTTTTAAAGGTGATTTTCAAAGTTTGTTCACGATTGATCTTTCTGGTACTTGCTGGCACAAGTAAGGTTGGACTAATGTGTTTCAAATATGATACTGGTCTTGGATGGAGGAGGCTGGGAATGCAATTTTCCGTGCAAGTTGGAGTGAGAGGACGAAATTCAAGGACTCGTTAGGTAACGATTCCAGTTATTCGATTTTAAATCAATCTCACTGGTAATTACCTACAGAAGCATTATTCATCAATACATTCACTTTCTATCCCCTGGCTCTATATAGAGTCAAGTCGTTGTCGACTACGTTTTGGATCTACACATACACGTACGTTTCGTCGCAAACATTTCATCAATCTCAAAATTTTCTTCACTTTTACGTACTTTACATTAGCGTTGATGTAATCAATTCTGGCACGTCTGACGTTCTTGTCAAAATTTCGACCAAGTTGAAGGAAACCGTTCTACGCGAAGGAATAAAGAAAGTTTCAAACTTTCAATCGATGATCAATACCTCGTAAATTTCGAGTACGAAATACTTTCTGCGTGCCACTTTCAAAAATCAGGGAACAGGATATTTTCACCTGCATGCCAAATAATTTAATCTGATCATTTCTTTTCATATCGTGAGGTACATTTCTCCTAGAATTAAATATATATCTCTTTCCATTTATTTTATATCAGTTTCAATCTGTTAACTAAGTTCATCAACGTCAGATCTAATCCATTCCATTATCATTGTCCTAATCTCTTTAAACCATTCTACATATTCACGCAAACAGTGAACATGCTACATTACATATAATTTCTCTACCTCCAACTACCATCATTTGCCTTCCATTAGCAATGATACGTCATACTACACCATTTATGCCAGTAATAGAATCCGTGGACGTCGGTCTTTTGGTAAAACGGGGAAAAGTCATACAATTAGCGATGATGTTCCGTTGTAATAATGGAATAACTACGCACAACAGACAATATCCTACCTATTATATAATTCTTCCATTAATATCCTTTCATTGACTTGTACCCAGGGCATCGGAAGTTGTCATTACGGAGTTGTTTTCGACAAAGGGCGCTCGCCGTGGCGTGTTTTCCTTCCTGGCTGGAGAATCATAACGCATGGAAGGACGCGCACCGTCAGCCGGCCAAGTGACTGACCCACGATTCCTATATATCGCGGAGATTGCGTAAGACCGCACCACCGTGTACACGCTATAAACGTACTGCCTCTCACTTCTTTCTATCCTGTCTCGTTGGCAAGCTGGCACAAATACATTTCGTACTTGGAAAAGGCGAAAAATTTGCCTTCTCGCAGCCTGATGAAATTTAACCTGATGATTAGGAGAGTAGCAGTCTTTTAGTAGAATTTTCAGCAGCATTTTAGTAGAATAGCAGAGGAATTGTATAACAGAAATAACAATAGCTTTGTAATAGAACTATAGGTATATTGCAGTGGTTCGGTATGAGAAACATTATGAACAGAGTATCTCAGTGTTTTTTTGTTTTTTTTGGAACATGTCAGTAATACGTATTACTGTTAAAATTGTTATTATCTTGTGTATGTTAATTTCATGTGATAGAATACAAATGTATAAATATCACTAATGTCAATTATTGAAAGTAGGTGACAAAAAAAATGTTACCTAATTAAAATAATCGTTCAGTTATATGTAATATTTATATTATTAATATAATATTTATTATTATTATTTAATATTAATATTAAATAAATAATATGTTTAATATATAATATTTATATTATTATATAAATTATATATTATTATATATTTTATGTGATGGAATACAAATATACATCACTAACGCCAATTATTAAATAGATGACAATATAATAAAATAATTGTTCAGTTGTATGTATAATATTTATATTAATTTCATGTGATAGAATACAAATATATATCACCAACGTTAATTATTGAGAATGAAGGATGTTAAAATGGTCGTTCAGTTGCAGGAAAAGGTATTGAACTTAAAGGAGGAGCACTCTTACCAACTTAATCATAATCAGAGGCAGTTGAAGTGCCACACAAGAAATTTAAGCAACGACCGCTTTATTGGATTCTAAACGTGCAACTGTTTCTTCGAACTTCTAGAGCAGAAAAGAAAATTACTTGTATGTGAGGCTTGTACCGCTACGCAGTGGATTGTTACTTAAGCATCAATTGTCAATAAGATGTATGACTCTATAACCAGTGTTACATTAATTTCTAATTACGCGTGAAGACAGCAATAAAATACTAATCGTTTTCTAAACTTACATACATTTCGCAGTTTCTTGCATGTATGTTCTAGAAATATCACGAAGGCTACTTTGGTTACCTACTTTCTACGTAAACTTCTTCCATTTTTGCATACTAATCATTCGTCGTGAGAGATGCCAAATCTTGTAATTTATCATCAAGGATCATTTTCACCATTTATGGACTTGAAACTTAGTTGTGATATTACGGATTGTATCTTCCACATAATGCAATGAAATAAAGGAACATTAATAGATTACTTTTCATTATTTGGAGATCTAGGGCAGAGATAGTTCAACAGCTTATGTCATCAGTTTCCATTTATTGGACACTAAACGTGCCTAAGATACCTTCAAACAGTCCAACGAAGAAACCTTAACTGATTGCTCTTCACTATCCACAGATCTAACACAAAGTCTTTTCGTACTCTATGCCATCAATCTCAATTTATCATATACCATAACTTCCTTAATGTCCAAACAAAGGAACATTAATAACTTGGATATATTTCAGAGATCCAAGACAAAGAAAACACTATCACTCCACGTAATCGTCCAACCTTAGTTCGTCATATACCATATCTTCTACATAGCTCAACTTGAATGGACAAACATGATGTTATAAAACAAAGTCACTAACTGATCTGGCCCCAGTTGGCTTCGTACATATTAGCATATCACGCGAGTAGATAGACATCTCCGCAAGTTTTCTTCAAACCAATTCGAAAGCACGCAGTTCAGCGATAATCTGGAAAATTGGATCTTCCGGTAGAGAGTGAGTTGTAACTGTTTTGTAAGAAAGATGCACCGCGAAGGAAGAACTCTAGCTCTAAATCTCCGATGTGTTTCTTAGAAAATTCGCGAACTTCGTCTGATTTTACAATGCCACCGGTATACGTAATTCTTCGCTGTCCATTGATCCCGAGACGATCTCGTTCGCTGAGAGAACTGCGTCAAACAATTTCTCTGAGAAAAATGCGTCGCTTTGAGGACAGTGGCGGAAAGAAGGGAAGGATGCGTGGCGGACAGCTCGGTGGAAAAAGATATCAGGAATTGTCTCGGTTATACCGGTTCGCGGGGCCAATCGAACAAGAGGCTTTCTCCTGGATCACTCGTTTGCACCGAGTCTCCTCGTCCTCTGGAGGGGATATCTATATAGGCTGTTCATTCCGGGTGAGCCCCTTCAAACTGTCCGCGATCCTAAGCCCGTGAACGAGACACGATTTAACGAGATCTTGAGAAATCTTGTACTCGATACTCGATGTGCAGACGCAGTTGAAATTTGAATCGTCGCTGAACTTCGAAGAAGGAAGAACTCTCAATCGGGATTGAGGAAGAGAGGAAAAAGAAAGAAACGAAGAAAAGAAAAACAGAAGAGTGGTGAAGGAGAGGAAGGGATATGAGGGACATGGCTCGATCGTGGTGCGTTGTGAGAGAGTGCAACCGAGACGAACAGTAACGAACGAAACGTAGTCGAGTTTAGCGCGAGCTTTTTGTTCCGAGGCGGAAGTCCTCGAGTCCTGTATCTGTCTTGGCCGTAGATCGCTGGGGCCTACCACCATCCTGCACCATGGTGAGTGATTATCACGATTAAGGTGACGATTTGTGCTCGAGAATTGGAGAATTTTTCTTGGACACTTGCTTTCTATCTCTTTCTCTTCTACTCTTCTTTCTTCATTTTTTGGTAACTCGTAAATTTTAACGCGAATTTCTTATGAGTTGGTTGTATCTTTATTTTTATAAAATATACCGATCAAAAAGATATTTAAATATATTAAGTATTGAAAGTATTAAAATATATTATAAAAGATATTTTTTTTAATAAAAATTCTCTTTGACGCATCGTCGAGACAGGCGTGCAAAATTATAGTCTGATTCAGTGGTGATTTGGGGGAATATATATTAGATTTAGTATATATTATAGTATAGTATATATTAGTATAGTATATAGTATAGTATAGTATATAGTATAGTATAGTATATAGTATAGTATAGTATATAGTATAGTATAGTATATATTAGTATAGTATATAGTATAGTATAGTATATAGTATAGTATAGTATAGTATAGTATAGTATAGTATAGTATAGTATAGTATAGTATAGTATAGTATAGTATAGTATAGTATATATTATAGTATAGTATATGTTAGTATTAGTACAGTATATATTATAGTATAGTATATGTTAGTATTAGTACAGTATATATTAGTATATATTATAGTATAGTATATATTAGTATATATTATATGATTAATAACTAATATAATGTATCAGATTTTCTATAATTTACAAGTACTACTATCAGTGATCATACCACCTTGTACTAACTGTTGAGCTGGGTGGTTTGAATTTTTTATCTTCATTACATTGGATCTTAAAATATAATTTGAATATAATTTGAAGAGTTTTCACCGCGTTCGTTGAGTTAAAGCCGATTTATCTTCTTTCTTCTTTTCAACTTGCCAGGACGAAGAACTTTCCTTACGTCAGTTTTGATTGACGTAAGAAGAGATAAGACGAAGGATAACTTTACATAAGTATTTGATAGTTTCCCGGATACTGTCTTTCAATTCCAATTCCACGCTTTCTATCACTATTGCATTATTAGCAGATCGTGCCTACGCGTGCACAGAATAGAAAAACTAAGCAGTGGAAAGCTGCATTCTTGTTTATTGCCAATCCAACTGCGTTAATAGAAAACTTGGGGCAAATTGCGATGTATCATGACTTCTTTTCGTTCGTACGCGACAGTATTACTACAGTAACAATACAGTCTATATGTACAAATACAATTTATATAATCATAATCAAGTGGTCAAGCTTGACAAAATTAAATTAGAACTTGTAACGATTGAAATTGAAATACTTCGAACGTAATAACAAGAGAAAATCATTCGTTTCGTTTCTTGTCGCTTCGAGAATTCTTTGATTGCGAGAGCGCTTTCGGGTTACGAAATACCCGAAAATAGGTTAAAAAGATTACGCGAAAGATCGAAGTGGAAGAAACAAGTTGCAATTTTCTTTAAAAGGGAACAGATGTTTTCCACTGCGAGAGAGAGAGAGAGAGAGAGAGAGAGAGAGAGAAAAGGAGAGGTTTTGCTTGGAACACGAATGAAGAAAAGGAGCGATACACCGGATCGGGCGCAAATAGGCAAAATCGAAGCTGGATGCTCTGCTATTCTCCAGCGGGAAGGAAATGGGGGTCAGTGTGTGAACAGCTTCTCGCTCTTTATGTCCAATTCAAGAGGTCGCCGACCGTCTTTCTTCTTCGATCGTGCTACCGTGCTTCTTTCTCTTTTCTCTCTCTCTCCTCTTCTCTCTCAGAAACTTTACTCTGCCAGAAAATTGGATAGTTACCGAATTTTCCATCGTTTCTCCTTCGTGGAACATTTTCTTCGTCAGAGATAGGAATTCTTTTATCCTTATAACTTTTAGTAGCGGATAGTGGCGTCTATGATACGTATCGCGAGTACAGGATAAATATTTCTTTGCTCTCTCGTTACTGTTTATCGTTTTATTGCTTGAAAATTTTAACGTTCAACTGATGTCACGTGTCACGATTAATGATTCAATTAATGTTGTTAACGTTGATGCTTCACGCTTTTAAATTTCACGCGTTGAAAACTTTCGTATCTAGAGTCCCAGCTGTTCCGATGATAAATTTGTAAAATTAAACCGGATAAAGATGTTTGAATCACGAACACCAAAATAGCTTCATTTACATATTTCACGAATTAATCCTCCTTCTGTCACGTTCTCTTCTTCACTCATTCGCTCTTAGAATTTCATCCGTCCCAGATGAATATTAAAAATATTTACGCAACTTTCTACTCTTCGATTCTGTAAAAGAAGAGACTACATCTACACAATGTTCTCAATACATATATTCCACGACGAAAATCTGCGAAATTCTCACTTGCACAGATTGCCAGATGAATTGATTCAAGCTGTGCTTAATCCTAGTTAAAAAGTGTAGAACTAGTTTAAACGAAGTCTCTTGAAAGAAGAAAAAAATAAACTCTTCTTTCAAAGCGAGTTCCAGCAAAGGTTGGAACCTCGAGGAAAAACCTCTTGTTAGGGTAAACGAGGAGGGCGAAATAGGAAGGAAGGAGGAATTCCAGTGCAGGAACCGGAATCGCATGAAGAATTCTTTGCTCTGTTACTACGTAATTGCCTTGTCGCCAGTTCATGTTCATGTTCTGCGAACACATCCTTAAGGACGAAGTCTCGCCTCGCTTCCCCCCCCCCCCCCCCGACGATCGTGTTAATTAGGTCGACACAAGAAACACGCGATAAATTTAACTTTATTTCTCGTTTCTCCTTTATTATAAACTTGCAACATTGATAATTATCTATTATTTTATGTTATATAGATAATTATCTATTATTTTATTTTAGGCAGGTACATATATATATCGATTACGTACGATAAGTCATACAGTCTAACCGCAGTAATTTTTCGCTATCGATTTTCTTAGAAGTTCGATCCAATCAATCGTCTCTTCATTTTTCTTTTTTTTTGAATTATAAATGTTCATCAACATCCGTAAATTTCGAGAAATTTGAACGAATATCTCGGTAGAAGTCATATATATTCTTTTGAAGAATTCGTTTCAGTATACTCCTTGTTTTCATTGCGGATGGACTTCGAAATAATACGTAGATACTTTCGCTCCAATTGATGAAATTAATTTCTGACGAATTTTATACCGTTTCTGGATGCCATTGATCGTAATTCATTCTTAAATCAGTTGCAACTGACTGCGGACCATAACGAGTGACCAAACCAAGTATGCAATAAGTTCGTCGCTTTCTTTTTCAACACGTCGGCACGGATGTCGCTGGATAGAAATTATTAATATGAGAAGTAATTCAACAAATTTGTTATTTGTTTTGCCTTTTTTGTTATAATTAAATGCACTTGGAATTGCAATTAGGAGGTTGAATCTGCGAGAGATGTTGGCGTGTCCAGGAGGCCAACAGACTGAGAAGAAGAAAATTCTTCGACGTTGATCAACAACTCTCGCGAGCATCATTTAATTCGGTGTTCGTTAACTGAACACGATCTTCGGGAGAGATACGATTTTTCGTTGGGCAACCAGAAATTGGCAGTCTCCGCTATGAAACGGAAAGAGAAGGGGAGAGAAGGCACGTTAGAGGCCCCGAGAACAGGAAGATTGGGATCTATCGTGGAACAGAGAGGCTTAATAGACAATGAAGATTCGCGGCGCCGATAAGGCGAACCGCAGGAATCCTTTTTCAGTTTTCTCTTGTCGCTCCTTTGTTGAAAGCCCGCCCGATGAATTCGTCGTAATTGCGAATACACCGTATACAAGGCCCGCGTTGCGTAAACTACGACACTCTTATTTTACAATATCCACGTTATTATACGGCGCTAGAAAATGTCCATTGTGGTGATCGAACAAGTAAAACGGTTGTTGTTTCGACGTGAAACTGACGTCCGTAAATCCATTTTGTCCTGTTCGTAGAAACTCGGAAAAAACGATTCCATTTCATACATTTTAGACACAGTATTTTCTTTATGTTGCATTGACGTGGAATTGGTTCATTTTTTTTTTTTTTTTTTTAATGTCTACATGTATGATGAGGAATTAAAATGAAATAAAAATAAAAGAGTGAAGAGCATAACCGTACCAATGAAAGTAGAAGATTCGTAAGAAAAGATCGTACAACGTATTTACTTGAAAACGTGATTTTTGGGAAGGTAAGAACACTCTTTTTTTCTTTATCGAAAGTCTTAAAAATTCAAACGTGAGTAGGAAACGTTGAAAAATCTTTTTCGTAACTAGGTCTGTCTGTTATTTTGAAGACTGAAGTCTCCTCTTTACAACGACTTCTTAAATCTCGTTGTATAATTTTTATTTACCATTTTATTGAACACTGAACATCAGCGTTGAACGACAATAGTTCCAAGAAATTCTCACATTTCTCACATCTAGAGCTAATGTTTCAAGTTCAATAAAATGGCCAAAGTAAGAAAAAAAAAAAAAAAAAAAAAAACGTAGCTTTAAGGGCTCGTTGTAAAGAGAAAATTTTGAAAGATTTTTGAAAAAGAAAAAACCGAGCTCAGGATTGTCAAATTAGAAGCTTCGCACTTGAAAAATGAGACCAAGTGGATCGTTGTAATATGATCTTTCTTCACAAAAAGTCGTATCAGCTCGGAAAAAAATTATTTTTCACTTCGAGAAATAATAACCATAAACAGGTTAAAAGAAAAAAAGAAGAAAAACCGTTTCAACACCTTTCGAAGTCGTTCGCGTTCTATGGGCAATTTACCTTCCTTTCTCCTCGCTGGAATGGATCAAAACGTTTGTTGGTTTCCAGGAAGTGTTCTAACACGTTTCGTTTGAAAACACAATGGTTTTGTAAGTACGGTACCGCGATAATGACGAGCAGTAACTCGAATTCACGTGTCATTAAATCAATGTTTTCTTCGTCGGGTTTTTTTTCTTTTTCTTTTCGATCGTGCGAGATTTTCATCGAGTGGCGTTGAGTTTAAATTTAAATTTTAAATATTAAATTTTTTGTGTGACAAATGATGATAACAGC